CTTATTAAAATTGTATTCACTGAAAAATCCACCGATCTCTGCCGTTTTGCCTGTGCCACTAATTTTAGTTAATCGTTCTTGTAGTGAAATGGATATGTTTCTAAAAATGTTCCCTAGAAATCTTCTAATGTATATATCACAAAACACAAACCGTTAGGCATATTAAAGGAACAAAATAAACCTAGTGTTTAACCTATCGATCCCGCTAAAATAATGGTAATTGTGGGGAATCTGTTGGTCATGAGTTACATTTGAGTTCAGACCATGCAGCTTTATTGGTCTACAAAAAGATTAATGAGGAATGAAACATTGAAATCGGTGATTTCTAGAGATAGATTTTTGATATTGCTATCGAAGCTCTACTTCAATAATCTAGTTAGACCAACAGGTTCTAGCCAAACTTATTACTTTAACGAGGTTGTGACTTATTTGAAAAAATCTTTTATAAGTGTAAGTTATCAATGTGTTGATGAATCAATGACTAAATTTAAGGACAGATCCGTGATCTTTGCGTATATGACCTGAAAATATATGCTGGGAAAGAAAGGAATATACTGACTGAAATTTTGGGTGAAAAAGTGATTACTAAATTATGTCAATGTATTATAAGTCCAGAAGTATCTATATGCTTTGATTGTTTTTTTAATTTAATGAGCCTAATTCATTAGGCGTAAAAATAGGACGGCTGCGTTGGATGGGACATATACAAAGAATGGAAGAAGGCGAAATACCAAACAAAATATTTAAACAGATGCCAGTAGGAAAAAGAACCAGAGGAAGACCAAAGCTGAGATACTTAGAACAAATAGAAAATGATATAACAACCTTAAAAATAAAAAACTGGAGAAAAAAGCACGAAACAAATCAGAATGGAGAAGAATCCTGGAACAGGTCAAGACCAAAAAAGGGTTGTCGAGCCAGTGATGATGATGATTAATGAAGAATTTACAGTATTCGGCAGTTGGTACCTGTATGAAAAATCAAAAACAGTTACCAGAAATTAGTAAAAGCTGCAATTACGTGACTTACAAATGCATTGCACCAATTCGGGTTTATGAGCTGTCAACTAGAAGGATACTAAAGAAGTGGTTGCAATTAATAATTATCACAGAGCTGAGAATAGTTGAGAATGAAAAATGCAAGATGGTTCAAAAACTAATGTTTCATGTCCACAGTCAGTTTTATTTTACAATCAAAATATAGGCGAAGTAGATCTTGGAGATCAGCTGTGTGGGCTGTACTGTATAGACAGAAAATCTAATAAATGGTGGAAGAAGGTATTTTATAAACTACTGACTGACTGACGTCGGTGGTGAATTCTTGGATACTTTATAAAGAAATATTTCGTAAAAAGTTCCTCTTCTACAATTTACTTCTACAATCACTACAATCTTCTACAATCCTCTTCTAAAATGATCCAAAAATGGTGTGATTTGCGAGCTTTGAAAACTAATATAACTTCTAAAGGATTTTACCAAATGTCATTTTGAAGAGGCAGGATAGAAGTTTTTTCTGTAATGCAATGCTTATACCTATACCCACGTAGACAAAAGTTATGGGACAAAGAAGAAAAATCGCGTGCTTCTTTTTTCTTCGTTTTTGAATATATTTTTCAAAAAAATACATTTTTGAGTTTAAAACGTGCCATTTCGATAAAAAATGTATTTTTGTATATTTTTTTTTGTAGATGTATATCTACAGAACTACATAGAATTCACCTAAATACAACCTAGTGTCCTAGTGCATATAGACTAATTCATCCTTTTCTTAAAAACGCACCCCTTTAAATGGTATTACTCCTCGGTGTTTTCATATTTAGAGGCTCATTAACCATATTAAATAATAAACCCATTTAACGTTATAGTTTCTTTGTTAAGTACATAATCAGTAGCCTATTAGCTATCTATGCTAGCTGTTGATATTCCCAAGATTGAAAGGAGTACGCTATAAAAAGAAGTTACACTTGGTTGCTTATTGAGTTTTCAGGAAATTACCTCAAAATTAGTGACAATACTAATTTAATGTGTTATAGCTTAAAATTTAACACAACATGTAAGTAAAGATAAGACATATAAGATTAAAATGTGAAAAAATTTGTTTATTTTAGTTTAAAAGCAACAAAAAAGATCAATATCTTATTTTTGAATTTGTGTTCTTATGTTTTCTATATCATTAAACGTTTATCACTTTTATTAGATATGTTTTGATTCTTATCTCTTCTTCTTTTTTTCTTTTATAGAATTGCCAACTTTTTTACTCTCTGTGGCAGTTTAAACACTTTTAAATAATATTTAGACAGCGGCGAGGTCTCCAACATAAAACAAGCAGTAGAACAAAGCAAAGAAGAAAGTGAAAACTGAAAACCAAATGGAAGGAAACATAAAGTGAGGATGACTGAAGAAATATTACTTTTAATGAGTGATAGCAAATAAATCATTCAAAACAAAACACTTAAGTAAATAGAAAGAAATAAATCGATTAATAAGAAAATAAAAGATGCTAAAGAGAGATTGTTACGTGAGCTAGGCCAAGAACTATAATATATATATATATATATATATATATATATATATATATATATATATAGATATATATATATATATATATATATAGATATATATATATATATATATATATATATATATTATATATATATATATATATCATTTTTTCATGATATTGGCTACAATTTTTTTTAAAACGTCATTTTATATTACTGTATTTTCCGATTTAGCGGTTATAAAAAACATAAATAATTGTAATTTTTGCATAGAAAAACAAGACATGATATTAACAAGATGATATTCAAGTGAGGTTAAGGTAGAACATTGAAACCATTACCGTAAATTGCTGTATTGTAGGTGAAGGTGAAATGCTCGGGGCCAAAACCTAATAATATTGTAATACATTACTTTTTAGTTTTTTTTTTTTAGATAGATTCCTTGCATAAAAAGTTGTATCATGATCCTTATTATTTATTTCTGTGATATCGCACTAGTAATATTAATGATTAGAATACAGTGGTTGTTTTCCAAGATATAAGGGTACATTTGCCCAAACATTAACAGATTTATATAAAATAGAAATATTTTTGACATCTGCAGATATTTTAACTTTTTATTCAACCAGAAAACTTGATTATTCAATGATTACACATATTAAATTTGCAATAAATTATCTATTTCAGACACGTGTTGATTTCAAAAACAAAACATTACCAGTAATGAAATAAGAGTAGTATACAATGATAATTGTAAATAAATATTATTCCAGTATGTAGAAAAATTACTGTTTGAAGATAATTAAGAAACTCTGGATCCAAAACAAATTAAAGTATCTAATGAATCGGAATATATAGTTAATGAGTATGTCAAAACTTATGAGAAAGAAGTAATTGCTTTATAACTTCACTGTTGCACTTTATCTAATTAATTGTAAATAAGATCAAGCGATAAATAGGGAAAAATCCGCCATTGCTGTTCTCTAGCCCGTATGACAAAGGAATAGGGTGAACAGCTAGCGTATGGGTCTTGATAATAGTATCCATGCCAATTGGGTGCTGTCAATAAATGCCAAGTAATGACAAACTTTACACTAGCAAATTCTACCTACGAAAGGGTGGGTGAAAGCGAATATCCAGCGCCTTAAATCTGGACAATCTTGGCTACGATATGGTAATCCCAATATAAATGTTCCCAATATTAGTGGAATGGGTTGGGGCGGGGGTCACTGAAGCAGCGGTCGCCATGTTGTCGGCAGTCGTTTGGCGTCATCGCGCGTGTTTAAGCTGTTGAGCCGTTTTTCAATTTCGAAATGTTTGTATATGAAAGTGAAACGTGGTGAATCTCAAACACTGATGAGAACGAATTATGAATCTGGAGCGCAAATTATTAAGAATGATATTTGGTCCAATTCATTACAAAGACGAGGCATAGAGACATTAAATGAAATACAAACTAGACAAACTAAAAAGTGACAAATATCGTTAAATTTGAAGTAACAAAGACAAAACTGACTAGGTCATTTATAAAGAACGTCAGATAATTACATTGTAAAAATAATGTGAAGATGAAAGTACCAAGGTAAAAGAGAAGGGAATGCCCTAAAACATATAGATGTATGAGATATATACTAAAAAATGCATCGTGTCTGAAAAATACTAAATAGAATTCAAAATAAACAACTGACTATAAGGGTATCAAAATTATGTAAGATAAAGATAAGGATGACTTAGGACGTTTTTACTTCAGTATTAATAAACTTGGATACTGCATATTGCACTTATAGTAAATAAACATAGTCGTCCCTCAAAGTCAAGGTATAACAACGATTTGAACTTTCACGTTTCACTGTACGTCTTCACAGAGACACAGAGAGCGCGCACGAGAGAGGCAGAGCTTGAGAGAGAAAACGCAAAAGTCAAGTTTATCAAAGAACTTAGTACAGTAATAGTTGATAATATAATTTGAGATTAAACGACTTACCTGTAAGGAAGTTCAATCATAATTATACGAGCACATCAGTCTAGAACACAATGGCAGTGATGCCATTGTGTTCTAGACTGATGGAATAAAGCGAAGTATAATTTGCTATTTTTATTATAAGCTAACCATAATTTTAGTTTAAAATATGTTTATTTTGACATTTCGAGTTCCACTTCGGAAATCGTTCTCAAAATAAAAATAGTACATTAACTGAAATGCCACAAGAAAGTACCTTCAGAACAATAGTTGATAATATAATTATGAGATTGTATATAAAAAAAATGGTCCAATTTGATATTGGTATAACTATTAAATATAGAGGTGGAACCGAATTATTTGAAGAGTTCCAAAATACCAAAAAATTAAAGTAGTGCCTAGTATCTCAACATAGACGTTACTAGTAACCTATCAGACCGAATATATAATTACTCCATAATATATTTGTAATCTACATAATACGATGAAATGTGTTTTTTAATGATACCTAACTTTAAATATTAAGCTTTCAAAACTTACCTTAAATGTTATGCTACTTTCTTCCCAATTGGGTCTAATAACTTTCAAAATTTGCAAGGCCCCATTTTGGATATCATTTTCACATACTTCCACATTTAAATGTGGTACTTCTTGAGTTTTGAAATTCATGTGTACTGTAATATTTAGCTACCTGCAATGAAAAGGACTTATTTAAAAAAAAGGTTTAAAACGTATTTTTAAGTTAAAACAGACAAATATGGTTAGCTACATAAGATATGATACCACGTATGTTTTCAACGGGACATACTTCCTTGAAGACGGCGTTGAGTGGAATTTGTAGCTGAAGTTGTGTAGTTTCGAAAAAAGTACTTGTGCAATCGAAAAGAAGTAATCACAAGAGAAATCTGAAGACTTGTTACTTGGCGAAATTAAAATTCATATAATCGCCTACTGCGCTTTCTTCAAAATCCATACACAGCAGACAGATTGATGAATTAGCCGACAAGGCGAGTCTACAATTTGCATTCCACGACTTGTCGATCCACGACGACAAGAATTATTTGTGAATTAGTTTCGAACTTGAGTAAATAAATAAAGCAGAAAGACATTTAAGATTTAATATCAAAGCAGCGGTCCTGCCATCCGCTTATACATATTTCGGCCTTATTAGTTCTATTACAAGCGACTTATGGACAAGCTCTGGATTGAAAATAAATCTCTTTTGTCATAATAGAATAATTCTTCTTCTTCAACTTGATTTTAATGCTGAATTGCACACAGCTTTCATTTGTGCCAAAATTTCTTTTCATAAATTACAGAACTAAACATTTAAAAAAAAATTACAAAAAAACTTACTGTAAGTACATGCCAAATACTTTGCAAAAATATTACGTGGATAATGTTTATTTAATAACAATGGAAGTTGTCAAAGAGGTTATCAAAAATAATTACATAAGATTATCTCTTAGTTGACGCAATTTCTGATTCTTGCGTACGATATATTATAGCAAATCTTCTAATTGATGTTTTAGAGTAATTCGTCTGCAAGTAAATGCTATGTGATTGCCTGTAAGCAGCTGGATAAATCAAATACTGTTACAACTGTACGGTTCGTAACCGAAATTTGGATAATTTTTTTTTTCCTGAAATTGTACCTTCTTCTTATTCTTCCTTCTTGTATGTAGGCTTTAAAGTCTGTGTCTTCTTCAATATTAGCCTCCTAAATTGTTTAAATTATCGCAACATCTTTTGCTTGGTCTGCCAATACTTCTTCGTCCATTTCCTATCGTCTGATTCTGTCCTCTGCCACTCTAGTAATGTGTTCATTCCACACCTGTTTCCGTTTTGTCACCCATCCATTTATGTCTTCTATATTGCATGCTCTTCTTATGTTTTCGATTCTCTCCTTATCCAACAGACTTTTCCCTGATATTCGTTGGCGTATTTTCATCTTTGTTGTTTCTAGCAGTCGTCTCATTTTAATTGTGTAAGCCTTGTCTCCGCTGTGTATGTTAATAAAGGTCTAATGCTGCTTTATAGATTATTGTTTTTGTGTCTTGTCTTAGGTGTTTGTTCTTCCAGAGTGTGTCATTATGAGATTTTGCCACTTTATTTGATTTTAAGCTTTGTTGTCGTACTTCTTTTGAAATTGTACCAGCTAATAAAATGTCTTACTCATACTGGCATGCGCTATATGTGAAAGCAAGCCATCTTAAACTAATATATGCAAATTTAATTTATGTAACTTGTGTCGTTCATAAGTTAATCAGGGTAGCAGAAGAAATAAGATTCCAATTTTCATATGTAATTTCGTTAATAAATTTTTCTCTTATTCTTCTTCTTAAAGTGCCCTCGCCTCAATGGAGGTTGGCTACTACAATTTTAAACTCTTCTCTATCTTCAGCTGTTCTTATTAGCTGTTTAAAATTTAGCCCTGTCCATTGTCGGATGTTTCTGAACCACGATAGTCTTTTCCTTCCTAGGCCTCTCTTTCCCTCGATTTTTCCTTTCACTATAAGTTGGGCATATTGGTACTTATTATTTATTCTCTTATAGATCTCTTATAGATCCTTTGAAAGTTCAAGTTTATAAGGATAAGTTACCAAATGTTTCAATGTTCCTCAACAAGGCTCAACGCTGTCATTTTTATTTCTAATATAATATATATATATATATATTATATATATATATATATATATATATATATATTGAGATAATATTACATATAGGAAAAACGAAGGTAATCTAAATTGAACTTAAATAGTAATTAAAGAAATAATTTATAAGTTATATACCAGAGAATATTATAAAAAGTATTTATATGAGGGTATTCTTAAGAAATTAGCATAATAATAAGTTTAAAAAGTTTTTTTTTAATAATTATCATATTATAGATATATTTGGATGAGCCATGTGCATAGGCAACCAAATATACACTGTATTATGACATTTGTCAATAAGAGTGAGTGTGAACAGAAAGTAGACATTTAAAATGATAATTACAGATTTAAAATAGTGTTATGTATTAATTTGTTTAATTTAGATATAAGTTTACATTCTGATCTGAAAACCTAAATGTCCATAAAATACTTTATATAAAAGTTAAGAATAATATGGAACTTTCAAATAAGACGTCAATATAAGGAAGTTACTTATTTGCATGGTAGACTATTCGAGAACATTCATGTATCTAGGAAATATAAGGATTCGAATATAATTTCTTTCAAGAATATTCTTAAACATTGAAATGATATAAATACTCGATGGTTTGGAGGATAGAAGTTAGTTAGACATTAGGACAGTTAGTTAGTTCAATCATTAAGAAGTTAGTCAGTCAGTCGGTCAGTACAAGCTGTATACAATGCAAGACAGTAGTCAGTAATCAGTGATTTAGTATGAAAGTGTTAATAGTATTGGAAAGTATATTACACGGAGAATAAATAATATTAGTAAGGGAGTATTAGTTGGAGAATAAAAATTATATTATCTATATGGTGATTGGAGATTAGAAGAAATTAAAATTATAATATTTATATGGTGATTGGAGATTGGAAGAAGAAAAAATAAGATTATAAGAAAGAAGAATAATAAAGAAAGAAGAATATTTTGCCCATTTATAAATGATATTAAGAAGAAAAATATTTTAAATTTGTGAAGCTGATAATTAAAATATTGTGGTGTATTTGGAAAAAGCAAATTCACAAAAACAAGGATAACCGAGGCTGATAACGAAGATATTGAGTGGTGATTAAACCCTTTATTTTGGAAAACAGTTTCATTTAGGCATTCAGTGACAGAAAGGTACCAAATTTTGTTTTGTTGTTCTAAATTTATATTGTCAATATTAGATATATATATATATATATATATATATATTATATATATATATATATATATATATATGTGTGTGTGTGTGTATTTCATAATAATTATAATAAAGATAATTTAAAAAGTACTTACAAACTAATTCTTTGAGAATCTATGTTATTTTAAAATACTCATTTCTCATACACAAACAAAACATCATAGTAATATATATATATATATATATATATATATTATATATATATATATATATATATATATATATGGGGCCTCCTTCCTATGGGGCTCCATTCGGTTATTCTCTTTATCCATCTGCTCTCGCTAGTTCTTCTTACATGTCCATACCACTTTAGTCTTTTTCGTTCTATATATGTTAGTATGTTAGTATGTTTCTATTGATGTTCTTTGCTTTATTTCGTCATTACTTCTCCTATCCATTCTTGTTACTATGCAGTATCTTTGCAGGCATTCCATCTCTGTTGCTACTATCTTACTGCTATGTTTCTTGTGTATAATCCAATTTTCAGCACCATATGTCATATTACTTCGCACTAAATCTGTGTTTTTGCCTTCATATTTAGGTGTCTATCCCACCATACTGAGTTAAGTTGTCGGATTGCTGTTCTTGTTTGTCCTAATCTTTGTGTAATTTCTTCCTCTGGTGTTGCCTTTTTCGTGATTATCAACCCCAAGTATTTGAATTTATCCTTTCCTTTGATTGTTAGGTTGTCATCAATCTGTAGATATTCTATGTCTTCATCAGTTGTAGATAGGTACTCTGTTTTCGTAAGGTTAATATCTACGCCAGCCTTGGTATATTGTTCTTGTACCTTCTTCATTTTATAGCTGAGGTCGTCTTGGTCTTGTGCAATCACTACTTGATTGTCTGCAAAGCTTAACGTATATAGGTATTTCTAATATTTCACCTCACGTAAGGAATGCCACTTACTGAATCTGTAGAGTTGGCTGAGTGATTTAAAAATGAAATAAACAGAGTAAAGGCAAATATTAGTGAAATAAACAAAATGTAGCGATGTATTTCAAAAACATTATGGTTATTTACTGTAATAGACGTGGCAAAAATTTTAAATGGTAGTCTCAATGTGACTACTAATTTAGATCCTGGGTTAACTAGTACCCTGAAGTATGCACAAATAACATTGGTAGATTAAGATAGGTAATTTTGAAAATATAAATACATATCTGACAGAAAACATTATTTTGTGGTAGAGTATAAAAATATTTGTCTATAAATATTTATGTAAATAGAACTAACAGAATAAAATGATATTCGAAAATGTTTTTTAATGCAACTACGGACTGACATCCATTTTTGGTTTGTTATAATTGATGTGTATTTAAAAAATGTGGCATGTTTCAATAAAAATTATGCTGGTAACTGCTGGTAACAGCAGTTACCAGCTGTAGTCAGTTTGAAGAGGTTTACTCTCCGGACACTGGAACTCACTTCAAACATGTTACCTGAAGTCAAATTCAATTTCAAATTCAAATATTTAACATCACATTTTAATAACAACAATATGTACAATCTTTAAGAAGTACATGTAATTTAAAGGGTTTTTACCCTGGTATTTTGGTGGCTCGGGCATTTTAACCTAGCAATTTTAAACCTGATGATGGACTGTTTAGTCCGAAAACGTTTGTTTTTTTTATGTAGCCCTTTTAAGCATTTTTTAAATAAATATACCCATTTACGAAGACTAACCTCTTTTTTTTTAAATTATGCATATATTTTAGTGCATATAATGTCCGATCTCTATTTACACCGCCCTTATATCAGAAAAATTATTTTGTTTTGAAATAAATATCTGCGCACGTTATTTCTTATCGTTTCCTGTATTAAAT